TATATATATATCTTATGTAATAGGATACCCATCCAGTACTTCAGGAGCAGTCTTGTGGAGAAATGGGAGTATTTCCACATTTTGCTTTATCTTTGTATATTTCATTTTTTTTTGGCAGAACCGGGGATTGAACTCAGGACATTGCACTTGCCAGGGAAACGCTTATTCCACTGAGCAATCTCCCCAGCTCATTTGTACAATGACCACATACACTAAATTTTTCTAAAATTCAAATAAAACTCACCTTTTCATTAGCATTTTTATTTTAGCGAAGGGTCTACATGGTGTTCAGGGTCTTACTACTAGATCAGACTCGTAGTGATCCACCTATTTGCAGCCTCCCAAGAGCTGGGATTACAGGTGTATGTCACTGTGCCCAGTCTCAATTGCTGTCTCAGCGCTGGCATGGCAGGCCCGGGGATAGTACTCCTGGCCCCTGCACCTGCTTGCAGGCACTTTAATCCACTGAGCTATTTGGCCAGACCAAAACTAGCCCTTTTAAATGTATAATTTCCAGTGAATTTTTAGTATATGCACAAAGTTGTGCAGTCATCAACCACTAATTGCAGATGTCTTATCACCCCAAAAAGAAATCATAAGCCTGTTAATAGTCACTTTAGCTTTCCCATCTCTGCAGCCACTAGAAATCAGTAATTTGCCTTCTGTCTCTTTCCATTTCTCTCTGAAAATTTCATAAAAATGGACCTTTCATATGTGATCTTTCAAATCTGCCTTCTTAGTAGTGTTTTTAAAATCCATCCATGGTGTAACATGTATCAGTACTTCAATCCTTTTCATGGCTATACATTACTCATATAATTAAATCTACAAATAGTTGTGACTTTAAAAATGCTCAGAAACACATTATTACCTGCTGTACAAATGAATTTACAGAAACTCAGACATATCTAAATCCAGTGTCCACATTATGGGATAGTTTATTTTTATCTCACCACTCCTAATGCTCTCTTAAGTATCTAGTTTCTGAGGACCATTCAAAAGGCTACCCTCTCAAACAGTATTCTTGTTTTCCTGTACTGGAATATTATCATACAGTAGACCTAGTTAGCTCTTTGTCCAGCTGCCTTTTATTTTTTCCCCCTACCCCTTCATAGTAAACATAGCAACACAGGTATAGGCAAAGTCATGATGTGGAAATTTTGTACCTCTGTTTTTTACCAAGTAGCAAGGTCTGGGGAATTGGCTTTAGCACACCAACCCTAAGCAGAACATGTCTCCTAAAGTGTCAAATTTTCAAATGCTATCAGTAACTTCATAGGAATTGGTACTTTCTAGTTTTTAATCTTCTGAATAAAAATCAAGAATATTTCATGAAGGCATGGTGGCACATGCCGTAACTCTAGTAACTCTGGAGGCTGAGGCAGAAGGATCAGGAGTTCAAGGTTAACCTGGGCTACTTACCAAGACCCTAAGGAGAAAAAAAAAAGACTGGGGATGAAGTTGAATACTCCCTAGATTCAATCCTTAGTGCCACAAAACCCCAAAAGAACATATTTTGACCTTATAGACTTAAAATCCAGTCACCTTACTATCTGAAGAAGTCAAAATTATGCAATATTATTTGATATAAAAAGCACGTTGCCTTTACAACTGAAGACTCAAAAATATAAATGTAAGATGTGTTTTAAAGATGGTCTGGCCCTTTTCTGGCCATAGAATTTTGCTTTGTGATTACCTCAGTAATTGCTAGGGAAACATAATTGCTGGAGAAACATAAACTGTCATCATTTATTTATATTGAGGGTTGGGGGCCTGCCAGTTAGCTCAGTTGTTTAAGTGCCTGCTTATGTATACATAGTCAAGTGCTGGATACCGCGGTTCGATCCCCAGCTCCACATGCTATACCAGACCTGCCCTTAAGGCAGCAAACTTCTCAATTTATATTTAGGTTTTTTTTTTTTTCCTGAGACAGGGCCTCAGTTTGTAATTCAGACCAGCCTTGAACTCTATTGTAACCCAGGATGGCTTGTGATCCTCCTGCCTCACTCAGCCTCCCAAATGCTGTGATTCCAAGTATGCACCACCATGCCTAGCACTCAACTTTCCAGAGTTTTGATCAGCTAAAGAAAACCACATTAAGGCTGGTGAGACAGTTCAGCAGACTAGGTGCCTGCCTGGGCAAGCACAGGGTCTGGGGTTCGATCACTAGCAACACATGCAGTGCCGGCTTTGCCCACTGAGACTATGCGTGGTGGCACACACCTCAATTCCAGTGCTCGGGAGGCTGAAAACAGAATGATCACTATGAGTCAGAGCTGTGTAGTAAGACCCTGTACCAAATACATCAAAAAAATGAAAACCACATCAATTCCCCATTTCCATATTTTCATTGAGGTAATTCAAATGAAATTTAGTAATGGATTTTAAATACACACATGCATCTTGTACTAGGCACTACTCAGTAGAATTTGTGGTAAAAGCAAAATATCCTATGTTCCTACATGGATCAGAACCTGTTATTTGATATTCTCTTCCCCTCTGAGGAAGAAAGTGGATGAGGAATTAGGGACAGAATGAGTGTATTCTACTAATGAAAGCTTCTTTTTGTGGTACTAGGGCTTGACTTGAGGGCCTCTGCACTGAGCTCCATCCTCAGCCCTTCTTTTTATATTTTTATTCTGAGGGTCTCACTTCACCTCTAAGTAGTCTGGCCTGAGCTTGAATTTGCAATTGTACTGTCTCATCTTCCCTAAGTGTTGGGTTTACAGACATGCATCACCATGCCCAGATCACTAATTAAAATTTTTATTTTTGCCCTGTATATGATAGACTTCAATACAGGAACATTACATCAGCAGTAACCTGTTCATGCAATGAGAGTAAGTGTTAAATGCACGAAATGGAGCTCTTTTATGGCATATTAATCCTTCAGTTCAGTTTGATATCAGATAAATTACACAGTTTTGGTGCATTGATTTTCAAAAATCACTTTTTAACTAGAAGTGAAGAAGACCTGGTTTGAACTGTAGGTATTTGAACCATGTACTAGGAAAACCAAGATGTAATGCAATTCTACTGTGTAATATACTGCCATTTATGGTCATGATAAAAAATTTAATATCGTGAAACTCTGAACTGAATTCAAACTCACTTTTCCCCCTCCCATACATATTTATTTCCACAAATTCTTAAATAAATGAGACATTTAGCCTTGGAATAAAGTAATATATTCAATTAACTTCATTATACATTTTCACAAAAAAGACATACAACTATGAAAGTCATAACTCATTTATTGAATGAATAGTATATGCAAGAATACCAATAATAGCAAACTAATACTACAAACTACAATTTTGAAAATAAAGCCAATATAACAAGAACAAAATATACATAACATGAGAGGAATGTTTGATTTTTGACCCATGACGCATTCCTTATCTTTACAATTAATCTAAATAGTTTGTTAAAACAAACTATACCTTGGTCTAACCTCAGTGCTTTTTAAGAAAGCAACAACACTCTAGAACACTTTTTCCTTTGCTTTGAGATATTTGAGATTCACACATTTGTTCAAGTACATAGATTCTGATTCAATAGCAGACTGACAGATCATATTATTCTGTTAATATCTTGAGTAGCATGTCATTCTGAGCAAGTACTATCTGGAAGATTCTAAAATTGCTGATCCTTGAAGTAAAATTCATATCAGTTGTGGGTTTTTAATAAATTGAGATGAATGTAAAAATCCCCCCCCCTTATCCCCCCAGGAACAAAGAGTTCTTATTAAAGTATAGAAACTCAAGTCTATCTTTCTACTCTAAAGAACATTTCTAACATTTCTGGTAAGGCAATAAATGCTCCAGAATAATC